GATTTTTGGCTGGCCTTTGGGGATTGCTTATCCAAATTGAGTTGGTAACGAGCATATGCTTTGCTGATCTCTCCTCCGAAGCTGCTGCGTCCACTCTTCACGGATGACTGGTCGTTGTTCTGTTCTTTTTCAGCCATGCCACGGCCATCCCATGGCCGAGCTGCCATCCAACGTTCCAACCAGCTCCAACCCCAGGATGGATTGTTCGGATCCATGAACAGAGGATTCATGGATTTCGAAGCGTTCTTCCAGGTTTGCTGTCAGACACATAACTTTGTTTACTTCTCAAATACTTGAATGCCAAAAAGGACTATATCCGGTGATACTCCCACCTTAAAGGAGACTCATGTTTAAGTAGTAGAATAAGCTACTAACACGGGGAAGGAACCTTCGGACTTCGAGAAGATGGTATTCAGACTTTATCTCCCTACCCTTTGAAGAGATCATGGAACTAATGATGTTGGATTATTGTATTTCGATCTAACAATCATTCAACCAATTAGTGTTTACTCTCATCACCAATCTATGGGGAACATTTTCTGAAGTAACGTAGTTATGTCTAATTCATTCATATCAGTAGCAATGCTGTTGATCGTCTAACTGAGAAACCGGAACTATAAACACACAGGCAAGAAGATTAAGCATCTAATTATCATATGTACCGAGTGCATTATATAAAACTAGAGGACAAGGTCACCTGATGCGTAAACGAATACGCCATGGCCTTTTCTCGTCTCATTGCAGCCTCGTGCCTACTCAATAAGCTTGCCTCGATTTGTTCCTTTGACTGCAGGCTGTCATCCCAGTCCTCCCCCATCTGTTGAAACATTCATAACCAATGGTCAGTGGGAAGGATTCTTGTATATATATATAGGTGAACCATGTTCGGAGAATACTCGAACCCGATTTGCCTTCCAATTTCTACCTCAAATATGCTAACTTAGACAATAAATCAAGTGAATCTGTTTTACCTGCAAGTTTACAATATCTTTTGCATGTTTCTGTAAGAGTTGCCTTTGTAGAGCCTGATTTTCTTCTGTCATCCGGATTCTTCTCATTCGAATCTGACACTGCACGCGAGAAAGAGTTTGCATACACCGAAGGGTAGCGGCTGCTTGCCGTTTAACAACAGGCCCTTCCAACATTGATTTCAGCCGGACCAGTCCTCTTAGAGCACGCAACGCCCTTTTTGCCTGAAAAAGAAGAAATCAGCACCAGACGAATCAGATATTCAAGTACCATTAATGGCTGAAAAACACAATTGAGGTGGTTCAGTAGCGTGCTTCAAACATGAAAAGTTCACTTCATTTGACCTTGGAGTTCTATTTTAATGAAAGTCACTTCAACATTGATAAGAAATTTACACATTCTTCTTCTAGAATAAATTCACACGATAAGCTCAAGGCCTCAAGCCATTATCAAGAAGTTTCATAAAGGCATATATTGTAACACATACAAGGTAACCTTGGAAAGCGGTCTGAATTCTGATAGCTGCAACTTCCTCATTCGATTTTCCAGCAAACCTAGAGCCCGTATCAAGTTGACGACGAACAATTTTCGCAACTACCTGAGCCGGAGCAGCAGGTGCAACATCATCAGCAACAGGGGCGACTGCCACAGGGTAAGTTTGCTCGCTCGGTTCTGTCTCGGCTTCGATCGCTTTCACCTCTTCGGGCTGAGGAGGGGACAAATTGACAGTTTCTAAAGTAGCTGCATCGGAATCACTAGGACCGAAATCCACCTGCTTCTCCAAAAGCTGTTCTTTGGATTTCTGGAATTAAAAAAAAAAAAGGAACATAGCAATCAAGAACATTGAAAAACACAATGGGGACTAATAAAAAATGATTCTTTGGAGTGTTTTTCCTTTCAGACCTGTGTTTTCTTCTCCTTTGTTTCTGGGCTAAAGGCCTTCTTTAGAGAAGACAACCATTTTCCTTTCTTCCCCATCTTGTCTTTTCCTCAGTGCAATAATCCAATTTCTCACTGCAAAACAGTAGGGTTTTAGAAATGAACATTATCATTCTCCAATCAATATATTAAAAGAGGCAGAACGGCAAATAGCTCATAAATGGTAATATTAATAACAGATCTACCATAAATCATAGAGGGAAAACCAAATACTCCATACTGCAAATTAGGAAGGAAAATAAAGAAAAAAAGTCTAAAAAAGGAGAAAATTCAACAATTTCTTACAAATTTGGAAACAACCCAGATTTTGGAAGGCAAACAGCAATATCGAAGGCAGAAATATTCAAACAAAAAGAGCTAAAAAGAGTGCAACTTCCAATGGGAATCCAAGAAACAAAAACAGGAAGCAGAAAAGTACCCGAGCCGAGATTATAATAATGCGCAGATCTCAAACAACTTGAAGGGTCATTTTTCCTTTGTTTTATCTTCACAAGACAAACAGATGAGAAGCTTAAAAGGGTCAATAATTTGTCGAGCAGCTGCCTATCGGTGAAATGGACCTTTGAAAGGGAAGATAAAGAGGAACAGATCTTGACAATAAAGCAGAAACAGCTGGTTTCTCTTGCTACTGTGACCCCACTTGTTTGATCCTTCGTTTTTGATTGGTTGGGGGGAAAATCTATCCATCTACCTTGTGTGTTTTGCTCCCAAACTTTTGGTAACTAAAACAGTTAATTTTTTTTAAAAACATCTTCTTTTTTCTGTCGTTTTCGAGTTTGTAATAAAGGCATTTCAGTTTCAGTGTGTATCAGTGAAAACTGAAAACCCAACCTTAAAACTTCTGGTGTCCGACTCTGACCGTAAAAAAATGTTTCTTTTTTGTCGCTGTAATTGGGTTGGTATTTTAATTTAAGGAGTTTGAGTTACCGAGTGAATTAAGTTCTAATTTTCCTTGTACATTTCAAATATCTTGGGAATCTTACAAGGTCAAAAATTTTTATGATTTCCACAATTCATGAACTCAGAGCAGTATAAACGTAGGAACTTTGGGAAAGTTGTCGGCAGACACCGACACAAGTTTTAACTTTTTGTAAAAGAAAAAAAACAAGAGGATTCGCAGACCTTGACGACAACTAGATAAATGTTCTACCTGTGATTGATTCTAAGATGCACTTTCATTATCCACCCTTCTTAACTACCATAACAATCCTGATTAAAAATAAATAAAGACAAGATTCCTAACTGTGTGATTGAATGTTTTTTTTATCTCTAAAATAAAAATCTTGTTGGTCAGTTGGGTTATCGGAGAAGGTTTCAACAACCATTGGCTTAGTGGGAATCGTCTTCAAGAGCCCCGCATCTCCATTCTTCAGCAACATAGGCTCCCATTCGTTATGTCGATCGTCCTTGCAAGCAGATCGGCGAACTTGATGGCAATGTGGATATTCAAAGCATGCTAGAGATACCGGCTTCAAAACCACCGGCAGTTGAGTCGATAACGAGAACGGCACGGTCAAGTCAGCCTGCGATGTACCAGTAATCATGCTTTTGATAAAGCCATGGTGTCCGCCCATCCGGGGGAATCAATGCCACTGCAATCGTATTTCGTAGTATAGGGCGATATCAATGATAATACCACGTTTCTTACTTTCTAAAAGGAAATTGTCTCAAATTGAAAAATAAATCTAGTTTATATTCTTATATATATTTGATTTGAAGATTTAATCTTAATATTTAATTCGATATATTTTATCTTATTATTAATAATTTATACATTTATTTAAACGACTAACAACATTGAAAAAATTAATCTGCCAACCAATGTGAGTTAAAAATAACAATACAAATTATGAGGCTAACTTGGACTTCTTTTAAAAAGAAAAAGAAAATTAATACAAATACATAATTATAATTTCTTGATTTAAATGATAAAAAATCAAATAATTTTGCTTCTTCTTTTTTTCTTTTTTTGTAAAGAGAAAATAATCTCAGTGACCGAAAATGTCTTATAATATATGATTTTAACCAACTTTTTTTGGATTTGTCAAAATGACCAACAAAATCGCAACGCGAACTTTAATTTTTTAACTCAGTTTCCAAATTCGCAACGCGAATATCCAGATTCGCAACGCGATTGTAAGATTCGCAACGCGATTTTGAAAAATATGTTGCGATAGTTAAAATGTGTTGCGAGAGTTTGAAAAACGTGTTGTTGCGATAGTGAAAAGGTGTTGCAATAGTGAAAAATCCAAAATAAGTTTACATTTTAACTATTCCAAATTCACGTGAAGTTTGAAACAATAAAGAATGTGTTGCGATAGTGTAAAAGATTCCCAAGTGTTGACAATGTTCAATCCCACATAGTATTGGAAACACTATTGAGAATGGGTATTTAAGGCTTGGATTTCCCACTTCCTTGTTGAGTGGAAGAGAACAAGGGGACTCTCGCGCACCGCCGCCGTCTCGTGGTCGTGGTCATACGTGTCTTCGACACATCCGCGCGGATACTATCTTTTTAGAGAAAATTCTTAAGAAAAAAATACAATACCACCAGTCGTTGTGATTTTGGAAAATCACAACGCGCAACGAATTTGAAAAATCGTAATGCAAACTTTGACTATCGCAACGTGAACTTAGACTATCGCAACGCAAACTTCGACTATCGTAACGTGAACTTGGACTATCGCAACGAATTTGGACTAACATAAATTTGAAAAATCGCAACGAATTTAAAAAATCGCAACGCGAACTTGGACTATCACAAAATCGCATTGCGAATTTAAAAACTGAGTTGAAAAATTAGAGTTCACGTTACGAATTTAAGATCGCGGTTGCGATTTTGTTGGTCATTTTGATAAATCCAAAAAAAATTGATTAAAATCGTATATTATAAGGCATTTTCGGTCACTGAAATTATTTTCTCTTTTGTAAATCCACATCAACTAATAAAAAAAGTTCATCGACTGCCTTTTTTCATGGCATTAATACCTTGAACTTAGGTTTAAAGATCAAATTATGCAAAATTAAATTACAAGGACCAACTCAGTATATTAGAGTGTCAAAAACCATAATTTGACCAAATAGAATAACATATGACCAAATAAAATGCAACAACAAACGATTCAACAAGTCTTGAAGACAAATGCTATCAGCCTATCACGCATCCTACAACATGATTAGCCTTAACAGCCCAAGTTTCGTCGACAAAGGGCAATGCCGACGAGTCCTTTGATGAACCAACTGATCAATTTACATACCACAAAAGATGGCGAAAGGAAACTACAAAAAAGAAAAACATTACAACGAAATAGGTCGTAAAACCTTACTTTACTCGTCAATTCCGTAGTCCTCCCCAAAGTATTTATCAACTAAACCATTGGCCATGTTTCTCAAGTCTTCATTTTCATGGAACTGGTATATTTCCATTGCATCAATCCCGTCCTCTTGTTCAACTAGTTTTGGTCCATCTCCATTTGGCACTCCTCTCAAAACCTATGATGCATAGAAAAAATGAGTATGGTTTTTGTTATTCCTCAGAACACTAAGGAAAGATCATTGTGCGTTTATTTAACGTGGCTCGATTTAGACATTGCAGCAAGTAGAACAAGTTTGCCATGCCAACAAATAAGGAAGTAGAAAACATGAATCCGAATTAGAAATGTCAATTCTGATCCAAACTTGAAAATCCAACCCAATCAACCCGAACCCAAAAATGACTCGAACCAGAATTGATCCAAACCCAAAAATGATCCAGACTTGAACCAACCAAAGCGCAAAATGACCCAAACCTGAACCCAAACAAAAAGAAACCCCGAAATGATATGACTTGAAAAAACCGAATGATCCAAACCAACAATGACTCAAACTTGAAACTGAGTCAAAAAAATGAGCCAAATCCAAAAAATGAAAGAAAAAAAAAACTCAAATTGAACCGACCCCAATAGACAACCAAAAACTAACCAAGCCAGCCTAATTGACAGCTTGAATACAAAATTATTCAAAACAAGTAGTCAAATAAATCGATCTTCTATTCTGCTGTAAATAACATAGATAACTTCCGACAAATAAATTGCTAGATTTGCTCACCAGCTCTGTGAACTGAAGTCCTAGTCTGGCAGCCTCTATATCAGCAGATCTAACCAAATCAATAAAACCTGAAAGGCAGCCTCTCTGAACAAGGGAAGCCAGGTGTTCCTCGATCAGATTCGGCTTTCCCTCACCTGCAGTAGGTGCAACGCATAGGTTGCCCAACACATATGCTACTTCCTTTCTTATATCAAAGGGTGCAGTTGAAAGAAGACGTAGTAGTAAGGGTACAGCCTCACTAGAATATATCAACTGCTTGTGTTCAATTGAACCAGCTGCTATATTAGATAAAACCCATGATGCTTCCTACACGAACAATACAATTTTCAAGTTAGAATTAATGATGAGGATTAATAGCAGCATGAATTAAGAAAGCTTGGTCACCTTCTTTAACACCCTGTGATCACTCTTCAGACATTTTACAAGGACTTTAATTACACCATCTGGAAAGGCAATCAAGATCATCAACCTTTAATATCTAATGAGATAAGAATTGCAAAAAACCATCTCCATGAAGCAGAGATATTAACTAACCTGTGATTTCATGCCCAGGGACGAGAACAGTGGAAATTGTATGTGAATCAGCAGCTACAAGATTGCCTAAGCTTCTCAGCACCTAGATGAAACATTATTCATTATTTGTTATAAACATCAGACGGTAAGAACAAAAGATCTTGAAGAATCTCAAGTCTATTTAAAATCGATGAAAATTGCCTTGTGACAAACAAAGGAATACTACAATGAGAGTACACCTGCACCAAACGAACTCAAACTCAGAACCCATACCAGGCATGGTTTTAGGAGATTTGGATGAAAAATTGCATTTTTTTTATTTTACTTTCGTTGCATGAGCTTGTTTTCATTCTGAACCATCAGCCATTCAGAATCAACAGTATCATGCAGGAGAGACGCATATAAGCATAAACTTATGATAAAGCAAATATAACTCATAATTCATTTCATATGTTACCGGAATGAGCAGTTGCAAACTATTTGACGTTGCTAATCTTTCCACAAGAAGTTGAAGGACATCACTCTTCACCAGAACACCAGTCGCGAAATTAGAAAGGGCTGAGAGATACACCACCACCCATGCTACTTCAGTGGCCAGCTCCTCATCCCTGGATTTGAGAAGCAACTTTTCAGTGTCAAAAGTCATGTCACGTTTCAACAGAACTAAATATTTAACTTTATTTAACTTGAAATCTGCACTTACACTTTTCGTAAGTGCCGGAGAATTGCATCAAGTACTCCATCAACTTTGATGAGCTCGGTTGCAGCTTTAGGATCAGGTCCCTAAGTCCAAGCAAGAATTACATTGTAAAAGGAAGTTTAAATGTGCATATGAATAAACACAACGCACTGCAACCCTTACTACATAAGTAATACACACAAAAGTGATTTACTGGAAATGGTTCAAAACCTTGATAAGGTTTGACAATGCCCAAGCTGCTGTTCTCACAGTTGAACCCTTGTTTGGCAACATCATTCTTGCAAGAGGTGGCAAAGCACCTTGAGATAGCAGAACATTTCGTAACTCCTCCCCTTCACCAGCAACATTGCCCAATGCCCAGGCACACTGCTCAGCAACAGGCAAGGAACTCTTTTCTGCAAAATGAGGAAAAATCAGACAAACTTGCTGCTATTAACTACATGATTTATAGAAACATAAAACTACAGGTTCTAAGGCAGAAAAAACAATTATATTTCAGGGTTGAACTACCAGGGAGAGAAAAAAGGACTAGCTGTCATGACTCATAACCACAAACCTCCAAGGTGTGCAATGAGCAATGGTAATGCAGGCATCAAAGCTTTTGTTTCTTCCGGTTTTCCTGCTGCAATATTTGTAAGACACCAGGCTGCCTCGAGCAACTGCAATTTAATCAAGAAAATATAAAACAAATGGGAAACTAATGTGATTTACTTAAATGATTATAATAACTCTGTTAAAATACTCAAAACATCAGCAAAGCACAAATTCATCTAAATTAGATGCCATATAACAGAACAGTCAAATATATGAACAAGCATTGCACAACAAAAGACAACTAGTTGCAGCTTTATAGTGCTAAAAAATCAAATCCTTTCAACCTGTTCATCCGGAGAACCAAACGAAAGGCATTGCACAAGCAATGGAATAGCTCCAGCTTTAAGAGCAGCTTCAACCGGAGGGAACTCAGATTTTGACAATAATCGCCTTAACTGACGTAGTGTATTTACCCTCTTCTGCATTGCACCTTTCCCCCTAAATATTTTGATTCATAATTTTGCAAATTACTATAACCCAAACATAGTACAAAGATAACACAATCAACCACTAAAGGTAATATTATAAAATAATTGAACTACTAATAAACATACTGGTAAGCAACAGCGGATTTTAACTCCTCCACGGCTGAAGAAGTTTGGGTATCTAAAAGAAACCCTGCTTCATCAGTTATCATATCATTTTCCTCGACGGGAACATCGCCGTCACCGGTGGCTCCCACTCTACACAACCGTTTCGCTCGAACCAACGATTCTCTCCTCTCTTTCCCCACCGTCACCGCATTTTGCCGCCGTCGTTGAGCCGCTACGTTCCCAACTGTGAAAAAAGAAGGCCCCGATTAAAATGGGAACGTATCCTGTTGGGGAAAACCTAGACGGGAAGATAGATTACTAACCTGATGATTTAATGGGGTCTCTTCGATGGGAAGTGGAGGAATCATCGGCCATTTTTGTTTGAGGAATACTATGAAAGTCTGGATTTGAAAATCAAAAGAAAAACAACACACTCAAATTACAAAGGGGTATCCAGTTTTCTTTATTCCTTAATCCTCTTTTTTGGGGGTTTCGGGAAAGCGCGCAAATTCGCCGCGTTTGATTGATTGTTGTTTTGCTCGAATTATAACTCGCCTAAACTACATCATTACCACTAAATTTTAAGTAGTATATTATTTATTTTATTAAATTTTAATTTTCTCCATTTATAATATTAAAATTTAATTTTAACTTCAATTATATCATTGTACATTAAATTTTAACGGTATAATAATATGGATATATTTTTTATCACTATATTATGTGGATAAAATTGTATTATTTTGCCTATGACTATTATTGTCTAAAACACTGTCGACTTTGCCCTAATCTTTTAAATAGTTTCATTTTTGGCACTACATTTTTTTGGTTATCATCGATAGTCAGTCAGTATTCATCATTGACCATATTTTATGGAGATATCGATATAAAAATGTGCATATTAAACTCGTCTTTTTTCGTCTGGGATTGTTTTTTTACGAAACTCACTCAAAATCAATGAAAATATATTAAAAAGCATAAAATGTTAATACTCCGATGTCTTTTGATGACCGTATGATGAATATAATTTTAAGATATAGTGTACGTCGTCTCGTAATAATACTTTTCATCGTTTGAAATTTAAATAAACTTCTTAAATCTAAGAAAGTCCTCAAACCCCTAAAAATGATAGATTTGTTTTGTTTACTTTCGTCGATTTTGAGTTAGCTTCGTGAAAAAATAATCCTAGAAAATATGAATAAAATATGAGCGTTCTTATGTTGGCCTTATTGTGAAAGATGATCAATGATGGACATTGACAGACTGTTGACGCGACTAAAAAAAATGTAATATCCAAAATGAATTTATTTAAAAATTTAGTGACAAAATCGACACAACTAAGGCTTAGTGTTTAAAACAACGGCCTTTTATGTATAAAAAATCATCACCAACACGGCATTGTTTTGACCATGTCATCATACCATTCATATTTTAACGTTTAATGACACAAATAAAATTAAAATTAAAATTTAGTATTAGAATTATACAATTTAAATATTCAATAGTATAAGCACGAATAATTTATTTCAGTAGTTAAAAGAATCGATATTATTCCTAGAGGTTACAGGTTCGAGTACCAACAACTGTAGCATGGTGTTTGAGCGTTCATTGTCAAATGGCTGAGAGTATTTAAAACATATATTACTTTATAATCAACTTAACTTAATAAAAAATCAATAATATAAATGATACATCACCTAAAATTTAATTATATCCGATATAATTTATTCTTATAATATTTAGCTTCATTGTTTTTAAAACTAAAAAAAATCGATTAAATAACTGATTAAGAAACAATCAATTAAAATATCTGTTGTTGTAATTAAGACCGAGAACAAAACCATTGTACTGTTCGATTTGGGTTTTTATTCAACCTAGTTCGGTAATAATCAAATCTATTCGGTTTAGATATACTATTTGAACTAAATCAAAAATTATTTTTAATGTATATATTTATTGAAAATACAAAATAAATTAAGACATAAAAATAAAAGATTTATATAATCCTTTGGTTCTTATTAAATTATATAACAATCTCAATTAAACCCTTATTTAAAAATGTATAATTAATAACTCGTAAAATTTAAACAATTACTCGATTGGTATATCTTTTCAATTTTAGAAATTTATTTGATTATGATAATATTTCACTCATGATTCATTTGATTATCGTCTAACTTGATGAAAATTAATTTATTATATGGGTTAAAATAATATAAATACACATTTTTTTCTTCTAAATTAAGCCACTATTGCATGGTATGTAAAATGCAACGCAACATGAAATATAATATAAACATTACAGACGTATTGAATTTTTCACAATATAACATATATACCAACTTTATTATTATGTACAGTTATAAAAAAATATAAAATTATACACACATGAAAAATAAGATTAATATAATATTTAAACTAATACGAACTCAATATAAATCTATAAAACACCTCTTAATTGTGATGATATATTTCTAATAATTATTAATATCTGATTCATTAATTCAATTAATTTAAATTCGAGTATTATAAAAATATTTTATAATGGAGACCTTTTTGACTCAATTTGTATAATTTATAATGTTAATATCATTAGTTTATAAATATTTAAATAAATTTAAGGTAAACATAGTTTTTGGTACCCAACTTTGGAATTTATTTGCAAGCTGCTAGTTTTATTTTTGGTACAATTATATATCTAATATTTTTTATTATTATTGCAAATAGGTGTCTAATTTGTTTTTTCTTAAGATTCAATTAGGTATCCAATTCTTTTGTGCAGCTAGATATTTGAGTTTCATCTTAGGTGAAATTAGGCACCTAACTTTTTTAATTATAAATGTTCAATTCTAATTGGTTTATATTTATTATTTTTTTGAAAAATGATAATTGAATTTCATTTAAAATGAAAAAAATAAATAAAATTACAACGAATCAAAACATAGAGAGAAATTTGGAGATAATAATCACCAAAATACTTATATAAAAGTAAAAATATTAAACTTAAATATAAGAATAAAAATAAAATATTCAGTTGAGACGACTAACATTAAAACCCAATAATTTTCATAAAAACTCATTGTTTCTATCGAATGAGACGCTTTTCGAATTGATAAAGGAGTGGTGAGCAAACCAACAATATGACAAGTTGTTTCGCCACACAATTCTGATTACATCGGCAAACAACCTTTTACCAAAAGAGATGATTTGACTATACTTGACCACCGACAAATGAATCAGAAAATAAATGTCGCGATGATTTTTGTGCGAGAACTAAAACGACTGCAGATGTATACGAAAAAACATACCAAAAAACATAAGGATTATGCCACAAGAACAGAGAAAAACATATTACAAGCACAAAGATTCCTATTCAAAATTAAAAAGACTTAAGAAAAAAATAAAAGACATAATATAAAAAATAAGAGAACTAATAGTCATCGGCGATCGACAACTAACATTAAGATTAATACCGTTGCCGACTAAATAAAAATCAAAGAAAAAAAGATAATATAAAAATATTGAAAGAAAATTAGATTGAAAGAACATAGAAGCGGCTTAATTTTTTTAATGTAACTTAATTTAATAGATAATATATGTTACAACTTCAGCAAATGTGTTAAAATTATAAGTAGTAACACGTGTAATTTTAAAAAGGCTTAAACATACAAAAAAGGTATCTAATCTATGTCTTTTTTTTAGTTTAGTATCTCACGTTTATTTTATTCCAGTTTAGGGCCTAATGTTTTATTCCGTGACTCAAAATGGGTCCAGTCGTCACGGATCGTTAAATTTGGCCGTTAACCCATTAAAAATATCACATGATATTTTTTTAAGATAGAATATATAAGTCCCAAAACTTTTAAGGCACTTGCATTTTGGTCACCCCCGATAACCTCCTCCCCTCCTCCTTATTCTTCTTCTTCTTCGTCAACATCTATAGCTCACGTATCCACACCTGCATTTTGGGAACTGTTTATTGTTTGTTTTACTTATTTTCTTTTAATATTTAAAACGTATAGGTGTTCGTGGTTGCTAAAGCTTTTGCTTTGTCATTTATTGGTGCAGTCGAAGGTGAATTTCTTAGGGAGGTTGTCTCATCCTCATCTTGTAAAGCTGCTCCGATACTGTTGGGAGGATAAAGAGCTTCTTCTCGTTTACAAGCTTCTTCTCCAATTTTCTGATACAAGCATACATGTTATGCGTGCACACTTCTTGACAAACGACCCACCTTCAATTTGGAAGTAAGAGCTTCGAGTTTCGATGAGAAACGACCCACCTCCTTCTCTATCTCTTCAATCTCCATATCAATCTTTTTCTCATCACGCTTCTTGTCATCTTCCCTGCAAACCCCACCCTTCAATTTTGAGCAAAATATTACAGCGAATGGGGCTTGAAATAATGAGGAGGAGTAGGAGGTTAATGGGGTGACCAAAATACAAGCACCCTAAAAATTTGGAGACTATTTATATATTTTATCCTAAAAAATATGCAAGGTGATATTTTTAATGGGTTAACGGTCAATCTTAATGGTCTATCACTGCTGGACCCATTTTTAGTCACAGAATAAAACGTTAGACACCAAACTAAAACAAAATAAACGTTAGACACTGAATTAGAAAATTATACATAGGTTAGTCACCTTTTGTGTATTTAAGACTTTTAAAAAAGCATCCTTTTTTTCACCTTTACTTTAAATCTTAAACTTTAAACCAGTTATAAAACAATTAATTTTTTATACCTAATAGGCTAATAATACATTCCTAAATCACAATTATTACTGTTGGTATTCGCTATCCATCTTTAAATCAAGCATTTTCAATACAAAATTAATTAAAATAAAAATTGTTGAAACATTTTAATATTTCGATATAACAAATTAAGTTAAATGGATTTTAAGATTTTCCAAATGATTTTCTAAGTATATTCGATATAACTATTCGAATATCAAAACATTACTCCAAATATTTCAAAAAATCATTTTTGATCCTTACTTAAGTGTAAAATTAAGTTTTAATCATAAAACAATTTCAAAATAATTTTACAAAGTATTTCGAACCAATTCAAAGCCAAAAATTCCAGATTGCTCAGAGGGAACCGATTCCCCCTAAATGGTTTGGCTCCGAGATTTCCAGAATGCTCGGAGGGAACCGATTCCCCCCAAGGGGGTACCGATTCCCCCCTGTTCAACGGTCGAAATATTTGAATTTTACACTTAGGGAACCGATTCCCTATGAGAGGGAACCGATTCCCCCCACGCTCCAAGCTGTTTTATTAAATGTTTTCACACTAAAACGGCTATAATATCTTCTCTAATTATCCCCAACGTTCAGAAGTGATCCAAGGTGTATTTAAGCAAGCTTAGAAGCCATTGATCAATAACAAGAAACATCAAGCAACTAGAATCAAGAGAGAATCAAAGAGAAAGCATCAAACCTCAAGTTTGAGCATTTCAAGCCCATTTTCATTCAATATTCATTTTGCTTTCAAGAACACTTTTTGTGCTCAATTGTATTCA